ATAGGGCACTTCCAATTTGTGGCCACAAGAAATTAACCTATATGTATTGTGTTAGCCCTCATGTGTTATTGTTCTGGTTGTGTTCACTCCAGCTATAGCAAGAAGAGCGTTAAAGAGTTAATTAGTGAGCGAGCAGCTTGCTTTCTGTCTTACTTGACCTAGTTCTCCTTTGTCTTTCTCGCCTCCCCCTCCCAGTCTCCTTTCTTTCTTTCGTTCTTTCTTTCGTTCTTTTTCTTTTTTCTTTCTTTCTTGCTTTCATGCTTTCGTTCTTTCTATCCTTTTATCAGAGTAATAAGTGTACTTCCTATGCTGTGAAAGCTTACCAGTGTCTGACTGCATGGTGAACATGAGGCTTTTGGTTGACTTTTATTGTGCGCTGCCATTCTTTAAACATGCCATCATGGTTTTATGCTTATTACAATGTATGTTAACATCAAAAGCATTGTTGCTCAGTTCAAATCTGATCTTTCTACCTTGTTGGTTTACGTTTGTGTTAGTAAGTGAGACATATGTCATTAGAGTGAATATACACTCGTAAGGAAAAAAGTACACAGCAAGAAATTATTCTCTTGTTTTGACATGTGGACATGAGTATTTGAACATTTAAACATTATGTATAGATAAACATTATGTAATAGAACAAAAAACAATGGAAATTTGACTTTGCAATCATTTATTAAAAAAAAAAAAATCATTTTTGTCTGTTAAAAAAAAAATAAGTACATCCCTGGCCTCAGTAACTGGTACTGCCCCCTTTGGCAGAAACAACTTTGTGTAGGCGTCTCCTATGACAGTCTACCAGTTTGACATGTACTTGGAAAAAAAAATGTCCTATTCCTCCATGCGTAATTCTTTCAACAGTTTTTGAGATGTTTCTTGCTTGTACAGCCCATTTCAAACCTGTATGCAAAGTATTTGAATGGGATTCAGTTCTAGGCTTTGACTAGGCCATTCCATTACCCTCTATTTCTTCCTTTGGAGCCATTCCTTGGTGGATTTATTTGTATGTTTGGGATCATTATCCTGTTGGGAGGTCCACTTCTTCAGCTTCAACATTTTTTTTTTTACAGATGGCCTCTGATGACACTCTCCTTAAAAACTCTCTGGTATGAAATGGAATTCGGAGCCGATTCGTTGATTGCAAGTTGGCCAGTCATGTAGCCAGCAAAACCTCCACAAACCATAACCGTAATTTTTTTCCACTATCATGCTTTACAGTTCATATGAGGTTCTGCTGATCAAATGCCGTCTTTAGTTTTCGTCATACATTACTTCTGGTACTGTAGCCTAACCCGTCTATCTTTGACTCATCTGTCTATAGAGTCTTGATCCAGGGCATTTCGTCTTTGTCTAGATATTCATTAGCAAACTTTAGGCTTGCCCTGATGTTCTTTTTTGACTGCAAATGCTTCACCCTGGCACCTACCATGTAGTTTAAATTTGTGCAGTTTTTCTAAATGGTATTTTTATGCATTTTTTTTTTTTTAATTTTGGTGGTTCTTAAAGACTTTTTTTTAGCATTATACGATCTGCTCTCCGGTTAAATTTACTGGGGCAGCCTGGTCTGGACAAGATGGCAGTGCTTTTAAATCTTCTCTACCTGAAAATGGTCTGCCGGACAGTGGAACGATTGATTTCCAATATTTTGGATATCTTCTTAAATGTGTGTGTTTGGGAAGGGTTAAATTGCATTACTGTTTATTTCAAATATATCTAGTGCACTCAAATACAAATATTGGCACCCCTGGTAGTTATGAGCAAAATGAACTGTAAATATTCTTGATTGCTTATTCTTTTTTGTCTTAAATTAAATTTTGACATGGAAAAAAAAAATCCTAAATCCGTGTATGCCACAATTATTGGCACCCCTAGAAATTCTTAAGAGTGAAATCTAACTGAAGTATATTCCTGTTATATTTTATGTTTGAGGTCACCTGAGCGAGTGAGAACACTTAATTGGTGAGCCATGATTTCCTGTTTCACTGGGGAATATATATGAGATGGAACACAGTCTAAATTCCCTCAGTCATCCATCGCTATGAAAAAGACTAGAGAATACACCAGTGATGTGCTATAAAATGTTACTGAGCTGCACAAATCAGCAAATGGCTACAAGAAAATAGATAAACAGTTAAAAATGCTCATGTCCACTACCAGGGCAATAATTAAGAAGCTTAAAACAGCTGGAGATGTTAAGATTCTGCCAGGAGGAGGATGTATGTCTATACTGACCCTGCACACATTGAGGAGGATGGTTTGAGTGGACAAAATCTCTAACAGATGAGGAATTGCAGACATTAGTTGTGTCTTGAGGTCACAATGTCTCCCAAACTATAATCAAACACCACCTATATAGCCACAAATTTCTTGGGGTGGTTGCCAGAAGAAAATCTTCTGCTTTCAAGGACCAACAAACCAAGCACCTACAGTTTGCCCAATGATACTGGAACTTCCAGTGGGGCCATGTTCTATGGTCAGAGACTGTAATAGAGGTTTGTGGCAACAAACATCAGGGGTGAGTTTGGCATGAACACAAAAATAAGGAAATGTTTTATCATGTAGCAAAATAGCCCATCCCCACTGTGAAGTGTAGTGGTAGGTCTGTGAAACTGTGGGGCTGTTTTTCTTCCAAAGGTCCTGGACAATTTATTCAGATACATGATATCACATTCAATCATGTACCGGCAGAAAAACAATCAAAATCTGACTGCCTAAACTCTGAAGCCTAAACTGGGCCATAGTTTTGCCACAGTGATCCAAAGCACACCTCCAAATCAGCACAAAATGGTTCTCTGACCACAGAATTAAGATGGCCACCTCAGTCCCCTGACCTAAACCCCACAGAAAACCTGTGGGATGAGCTGAAGAGAAGAGTACACAGTGTGAAGCTCAGAAGGATCTGGAGAGATTCTGTTTGGAGGAATGGTTTAAGATCCTTTGCCATGCATTCTTCTGTTTCAGTAAGCATTATAGGAGAAGACTCGGAGCAAAGGGAGGCTGCACAAAGTACTAAATAAAGGGGTGCCAATAATTGTGGTACACACAGAGAAATATTTATTTCCTGTTAAGATTTATGGTTTTTATCAATCATTGTACTTCAAAAAGGTTAGATTTTTGTTCATTTAAATGAAAGTTCAATAGGATCGGCAATAAAGAATGTTTACCAGAGTTGCCTATATTTGTGCAGGGTGCTATAAAAATGGCAAAAAGATTGGTAATTCTAAGTGTTTGTTATATTGTTTCACTTTTATCTGTCGACTTTGTTTAAATGAAGACTTGACATCTGTATCTCCAAATATGTTGAAAAAGTCTAAACCTTTCGTGGGGTGTACTTTCTTCTTCACACGACTGCAGTTCTGCCTTATTAGCTTATTATATCATTAGCTGCAGTAGTCACCTGCTACTGGCACACAGATGATGATAGTGATGTACAGTTGTGTAGTTAAATGTGATTTAAATAAAAATGGGCATAAGCTTCTATTATATGATTTGAAAATGACCTAAATCCAAGTAGAAAAGATCACGTTTTTGAGTAAATCTTAGTAGTTACTGAATAATAGTTGTATAATCAGCCTGAACATGATGATTCGGCCAAAAATTTAATCTAGTCTAAAACAATGTTCCTCAAATGTTGATCAGCCTAGATATTATGACTTCTTTTGCATTTGGCTTCAATGATACATTGAGCATTAACGGCTTAAAAAAAACCTAACAAAACAAACAAAAAAAAATCCAGGTTATTTTGCCGCTGTAGTCGATGGCAAATTTGGGAAAATTGAACTCTTGATGGAATGTCCCACTTACTGTATTTAATATCCAGACCTAACCATCCATTGGTACCCAACCTCACTGAAGATTTATTTGCATTCAGGGACATAAGCATTAAAGCAATGTTCCAAAATCTAGTGTAAACCCTTCCTAGAACACTGGATATAGCCAGTAACCCTACAAATTGAACAGACTTACCTAACTCAGAGTGGTTTGATGCAAGTGTCTGATTTAGGCATGCCGCTTGCACAGTACTAACTCTAAAGCTAAAGCACCAAACATTTCTTGGCTGACTGTCCTCATTTGCTGTGTAAATGTGTCCTATACTAATGAAGATAACAAAACTGTTGGAGCAGTTCCAGTAGACAGGTCAGACTGTGACATGGTCAGTGCCATGGCCATTGGGAAGCGTGTGGTGGTGGATGCTGGCAGACAGGTAACACTTCACACCTGCCTCCGCCTATATAAATGAGTTTGATCCACCCACTAGTTAGGACTCCTCTAATCACATGATACTACCAGCACCAGGAGGACGAAGGCTAGCACAGGCTTCCTCCGAGACCTGTAAAGCCAGTTGCCGCATCTTCGAACTGCCACTCACGCAACATCATTGAACAGCCAAACGCACACGGAAGAAAGCGCCAATCGGCAAATCTGTTACGTCAGCTAACAGACGCCTGCGTCGGCTCACATCGCGTTGGAGTGATGGGGTGGAAAAGAGGGGGCCATCCCACCCACCCAGAGAGTGACACCAATTGTGCTCTCCTGGACTCCTGGCCATGCATGGCTGTAGCATCACCAGGGATCGAACTCACAATCTCCTGATGATAGGGGCCAACGCTTAGACGGTCGCGCCTCTCAGGAGCTTCTAATTATCTTTTAATGCATTTTTTTAAAACTGAAGTTTTGGAGATATTAGATTTATGTTTAGTTGAGATTTTTGTGTAATTTTCCATGAAATCTGTTTTCTTCTTTTTTGCTGATGCTGAAAAAGCTTAATGGCTGTTTTGACTGAAAATTGAATCAGTAAAAGGGTGGGCTCTGACTTTTGAATGGTACTGTATGTGCCTCCAGAAGTACTCTCAGAACTCGTATTCCTCACTTTTCACTCACACACATTAGTATGGGGGTCCTAATTAGATGCTGAATAAAGACTTTCTTGAGGACTGCGACAACGTTTTTTGATAGGCTCTTTCCTTTTTTCACCGACACACTCTCTCTCTCTTTCTCAGGTGCTTTCCCCACCACTACTGGAGCCTTATTATGGAAAGCAGATGTGGAGAAGCTGTGGTGAGTTCTTTTAATTCTAAATCCTCCAACCAGTGTGTGCTCCGATGGACTGCGCCTCTATCAGAAATTGGTTTGCTAACTATAATGACTATAAAACCACAGTAGGTGCCTTTAGAACACAAAAACCAAATTTCAGCTTTCTTTGTTCGGTAGAAAGGTCCCTCTGTTTGATAGTACTGCTTTTGTAACGTGATACCTCTTTATTTAAAAACTTAATGGAATTTGGACAACCCCTGGCCCCTCAGTGTGGATGTAACCTCACCCTGTCACAAGAGACTGAGTGTTCTCTGAGGCAAAGTGCTGTTGTGAAACAGTATCTTAAGTGATTTCTGTGATTATTGTATTTTTCTCCAGTCTGGTTTTTATAGCTTCCAGTGATGAGTAACTAACCTGAAGCTGTGACAGTGAGTCAAGGTCAGATAGGCTCAATCTGTGCTGTGTACACACAGTCATATTGTATGACCGAAGAGCACTTCACTTTCCCCTTAACTGCTGAATGATGCTGAAGCCATGCATGTAAATTAATCTGTGCACTATTTATTTACTGCATTCACAGTGTTGGGTTAGTGTATATGTACAGTATTGTGCAAAAGTTGGAGACCACCCTTCATTTATTTCATTTCCAGTCAAAACTGCCATTACATACAAGTTCATTTTTCAGGAGATTATTCTGGGGATAATAGATATGATTATTAACTTGCGTAATGAAGGGGGAAGTCAAAGGAAGATGACTGGAAAGAAGAACAGCAGTTTCCAAAAATGGAGTTCAAATAATTATCAGGTAGAAAGTATTTAAGGCTTTCATCTTTAAGAAAGTGGAGAAAAGCTACACTCTTACTTTTAGATCCAAAAAAATCCACAGGTAATGGACTGATCACCTCAGAGCCCACGCTGCACCAACATTGAATGTGTTTAGGATTATTTCATCTGTGGAAAGCACAAGAAAAGGCCTTATTCACACGAGCTACCTCTGCGGTAGCATGAGTGCTACAGCTCGAACACGCTGGCCTTTCATACAGCATTTGTGCTGCGGAGCACAGAGAAAGTTATACAGACATTTCTTTTTCCAGACAGATAAATAGTCATATCAGTCACAGTTCTCAAAAAAATAGATTGGAAACAATCAGTGCCGGGTATCCTCTAAATAACGCACCGCTTCAGTGCAGCGTCTGGGATTCTCTGCCACTTCGCGCACACAGCCTGTGTGAAAGCGGTGACCACCTAACATGGGCACCAAAATGAAAAGCACACGCCACGCAGATGCACTGTGTGTGAATTGGGCATAGGACTGAACTTTAGAGATGTGGAAAAATAACCCTGCATTATAAATGCAAATGTCCCTGGCAATAGTTTGAAGAGAGACAGGGTAAGGAGTACCTCATCTAGTGTGTACTTCAATAAAAATGTCATTTAAACTTATTGTTAAAAAAAGAAAAGATTGCAAAGAATTTATTACTATACATCATAAATGTAAGCTGCACTGATTCTATGTTTACATTTGTTTGGTCTGATTATGCTTTTTGTCCTCTAACTATAAAGCTCTGGTAGTGGATGAGCTTTTGCTAACTGTTCATTGATAGAAATATGTGAGAGATTAAAGATTTTCACCTAAGCTTTTGTCTTTTGGAGCATATTTGTGACACATCTGTTAGAGTGCGCATGTCAGACATTGAAGCATCTCTGAAGTGTAAATATTTAACCACTGCTTAACAAACACTAGTTCATAGGTTACCACAAAGCTGTGTGTTCTTGACCAACTAGAAATGAATCAGAGAAGAATAGAACACAGAGAATGCTTTATTTGTGTTGCATAATTCAGCATCTGAGAAAATGATGAAACTGCCACGTCTGACACTTTGCCATTAATGCTGTGAGCTGTTTGGAGCAGCATTGACAAGTGAGGCTAGATCTAAGGTGCACATCTTGCAGTGGGGAAAAGGGAAAAAATCAAAGGAAACTTGAGAAAATATTAAGGAACTACATGAGGAACTGAAGTAATCCTAAATCTCTTGCATGCTTGGCATCTCCATTCCCCCTAGACATGTCTAGTGGTGTATTATAAACTCAGTTAGCAATACTAATATGCATAAAGTAGAAAAGAATGAATTTAGTAGCTCTTAATATCATGAAAACTTATGAATTCTGTTAAAAAAAATTGCTTGCTAAACAAATGTGTGCTCTGTGGATGCTGCCATGTGGGACGTCTCCATGAGAGATGAGGTGTTTCCATGTTGTGTTAATGGGCAATGAGGGGTCTTGTGGGGTTGTTTCCACTGCCTGGCTAGAGTAAACGTGTGTGACATTTCAGAACAGTGCTGGTTCAGTTGGCAGTGGTGGGCATTACCGTTTTAAAAGTTTGTTCTGAAACAAATCAGTCTCTGATTTAGTGCAGGGAGTCCACTTGTTTAATCAGTTGGTCTCAAACAATTGATCATGTGTACTCTTGCTTTGTTAGAATAAAAACCTTCCAACACTGGCTGCACTGGCCTTTTATGGAAAGACTGGACACCTCTGGTTTAGTGTGTCAGGAGTGTGTGATGGCATGTAAATCATAGAAGCATTAGTGAACTGCTGTCACTAAACAGTTCTTTAAGGTTGTAGCTGCACAACTGTGGATTAGACTACATATAAAATAAACTTGTCCAAAGCTGCTTCCTCATATTAGCCTACATGATGCATGTGGTGGCTTCTAGACTGTGTTATTCCACGTCACTTAGGCATGTTCTGGTAACACAATCCTCTTATTCATGTAACTGTGTGAAAAAGTACTGTGGTAAGCAGTAAACCAGTTTCGGGGAGGGGGGTTTGTTTGTTTTCCTTTATTGTTTTATTTCCACAAAGCATTTCCACACATCATAATTGTAATTACAATTATAATTAATAATAAGTACAATGTGTTGCGCTCTTGCTACTTTAGCCCAGGTGGTTGCTAAGGTGTTGCTAGGCCATTGCTATGGTATCTGAAGCAGTTGCTAGTATGTGTGTGCATGTGTGCTAGTAAGTATATTTAATGTGCATGTAAGATCGCTGAAGGTCAGTTTAACAATAATAATAATGTTTTTTTATAGAGCACTTTTCATACTGGTGGCAACTCAGCACTTTACAGACAAGTGATGATGTTTTACAGTAATGAACGAGACAATGACACATCAAATTAAAACGAAATACCAAAGAGACAGAATATTAATTGAATGCTAAGTTAAAGAGCGATGTTTATAAATGTTTCTTGAATGTGTGCACTGGCCTTGACTGTCTAATAGACGTTGTAATTGAGTTCCACAGTTTAGAAGCAGAATAACTGAAAGGTGCCTCTCCACATTTACTGTATTTTATGGGAGGTATTGGTAGAAGGTCAGTATCTGCAGATCTAAGATTATGTGCTGGAACATAAACAGACAGACACTCTGTGATGTAAGCGATGTTTTAAGGTCATTTAGAGCCTTAAACACTAGTAGCAGAACTTTAAACTCTATTCTGAACGATATAGGTAGCCAGTGCAGTTCTTTTAAAAAAGAAATGATCTGTTTTTTTTTGTTTTTTGTTTTTTTTTGTTTTTTTTTTAGGATCCGTGCTGCTGCATTTTGTATAAGTTGTAAGGGATATATAATTTCAGTATAAAGTCCAGTAAGAAGAGCATTACAGTGATCAACTCTGCTTGTAACAAATGTCTGAACTAGTTTCTCTGTGTTACTCTGATATAGAAAAGGTCTGACTTTTAGACTGCATTTACATGCGGGATAAAGCAGAGCTCAGAATCTACGATTACACCGGCATTTCGTAGTTCTGGTTTGGTATACAAAGCTAAAGAACCAAGCTTTTTCTCTGCGTTTTAGTACCAAGGATCAGTATTTCAGTTTTTTTGTTATTAAGTTGTAAGACATTTTCTGACATTCACCAAGAAATACCAGCTGTGTGAAAGAGTCCTGATCATCAGAAGGAATCAAAATGCATAATTGTATGCAAGATGTCTATTGTGTCATAGTTTGTGGCAGTTGGATTTGAAATCTTTCGCCGTTCAATGATTAGTTTCCTATGGAGAAAAAAAAAATAAATGTTTGAACGAACGCTGTACAGAAACCTTATGTCCCAGTAGTGCACTGTTCGTGTAATTATGCCTCTACGATCCTGCAAAGTTTTGTGGTTTTGGCTTGAAAACTGTGATCCATTATAATGATACAAAGAAGCATTGAATAATAAAATGAACAGTAATTTGCCCTTGACAAGCCAACTAAAGAAAAGCTGCACTTTTGTTCTGATCATTTTCAACCTTAATTATTGTCATAGAAAAGAACAATTGTGCTGTTCAGTGAAAGTTGTGGGAGTATATTTTCATCCTTAATTAGCCTACAAAACTGGGATTAATATAGCAAGAATGAACGGAATTCCAAATGTTGCACACAGTTCACTGTCTGGGGATGTTTAGTCCGAGGCTGTGGTGTCTGTGGCTGCTTAGCCTGAAGCCTGATTTCACTTGATGTACAATTGTGTGAGAGCTGAGACACCAGTGTAGCTGAACTGCCGCATTTCTAGAACAATCTCGTGTGTGCCAAGTACAGTACATGTAGGATATCTCATAAACATACGTATTTAAAAGTTCAGTTGTGAGAGTACTGGTGGTTTGCATGAAATAATATAATACATTGCCATTTTTCTTTAAACTAGCAGCGAATGAGTTTGACCGCCACACAGGGGCTATGACTATGGTAACTGTCACTGCATTGGCCATAGCTGAACAGAATGAATCAGTTTGTTCACCCAAAAGATTCATTCAGAAAGGATGAATCATTCATGAATGACACATCACTATCAGTGAGTGTTAGTGCTCGTGGATGCTGCATTGTATCACCCCTCCCCCCCATGGCAAAGACAAACCTGTCAAATGTGCTACACGTAGGAGTTCAGCATGTGTTTGTTTCACGCAGTTGGAAACCTAGGTTTCATTGTGGGGAAAAATAAGGTGGGAGGGTGTTTGCACCACTGTCCACATGTGTTCCATTCTG